AACGTAGCCTACGGCCACTGAGAGATGGTCTACGAGACCTCTCCCTCCCTTTGGGAAGAGAAAACAGAGAAAACAGAGCCTGGTTCGCAAACCGAGGCAAGGCATGAAAGAGTCCAGAAGTCCAGAGGCAAGGCTTGCAGCCGGGACTCTGAAACTTCTGAACGAGCACAATATGCAATATCACCGAGCGCTCAATCAGTGACATCTGAGGCTTAAGGTCGGTCAAAAATGGGGTGTCTACAAGAACCTGGGCATACCCAACATAAACCCCCACCAATCTGTGATGTTAGACCAAATTTTCCAAGTAAAGGGACAATGAAGCAAAACATGGTTAATGGTCTCAGGATCTGCTTTACAAAAAATACACTGAGTGGCAACCTCCCCTCTAAGGATACCAATACTATGAAGGAAAATGGATGCTTTGATTCTGCCTTTCCAAACCAGGCAAGAAAAAATTGGACTTTTGGTGGTGTGATATTATTCCAAATGAATTTAGGAAGAGACAAATCTGTGCCTCTATTGGGCTGCAGCCAAGAAAATAACTCACTAAATTTGAAGACACCCAGACTAGAACCTTTCCATTTCATGCTATCCTCTACCCCAAACAGTAACAGTGGCCCATCACCCAATAAAATATGCTGGTTTTGGACTTCCTCCACTTCCCATGCCATCAAGGGCCTCCTAAAGGTTAAATTCCAGTTGGAATAACTAATTTTCCTATCCAAAAAGTCTTTAAGGGAACATATTTACGAGAAGAAAGACTAAACAATCTAGGAAAGTGAGATTGAAGACATTCACTACCTAGCCAACTATCCTTCTAGAAAGAGATACTAGCCCCATTACCAACAACCAATTCTGAGTTAGCTAGGAAACAATTTAATAAAGCAGGATTACCTAAAGCTAAATCCATAATGCCCTTCCAGATCCAGGAGAACTTAGAGATAGTACCTTGGGAGTGGAACCAACTACCTGATCTGGTGTTGTATTTGCTGCATATCAATCTTCTCCATGGGGCTTGAATTTCAGAACAAAACCTCCACCACCATTTAGCAAGTAAACACTCATTAATTTGACCCAAACTTCTAATGCCTAACCCTCCTTGATTTTTTGTCATTGAAACATCCTTCCAACTAACCAGATGGACTTTTCTTTTGATATCTGAGTCTCCCCACAAAAAGGAAGCTTGAATTTTATCCACCTCTGTGATTACACACTTAGGCATTTTGAATAGAGAAAGATAGAAGATTGTGAGGCTTGATAACACCGACTTGATGAGGGTGAGTCTTCCAGCGAACGATAATAATCTCTTTTTCCATCCAGAAACTTTACCTTTAATTTTATCTAGAACATGTTTCCAAGTTATTTTCCTTCTAGGACTAGCACGAAGTGGAAGTCCAAGATACTTTAATGGCAGCTTCTGAGTGAGGCAGTTTAGTTTTAATGAGAAATCATTGACCAAAGTCTCAGAGACGCCAATTCCACAAACTACACTCTTATGGAAATTTATTTTCAGACCTGACATAATTTCAAAACATCTAAGAATTCTCTTAAGAGTAGTGATTTCAACCAACTCTGCCTCACAGAATAGGATAGTATCATCCGCAAATTGTAGGTGGGTGAATTCCAGCCCATTAGGTCCAACAATAGCCCCTCTAATTAAACCCAAATTGTTTGCTCTTGTTAATAACATATTCAACCCCTCAACTACAATGTTTGAAGAGGAATGAAGAGAGTGGATCACCCTATCTGAGACCTCTTTCAGGTTTAATTTCATCTGTAGGTGAACCATTAACAAGGATGGAAATACTTGCAGTTGATAGGCAATATTTCATCCAACCCAGCCATTTGGAACCAAAACCAAACTTTACAAGCAAATCGAATAGAAACTCCCAATTCACCGTATCAAAGGCTTTCTCAAAATCAAGCTTGATGATCACCCCTTGCTTGTTTGATTTTTTCCACCAATCTATAATCTCATTGGCAATAAGCACTCCATCTAGTATATTTCTACCTCCAAGAAATGCAGATTGAGCTTCACTCACAATGTTAGGCAGGACAAGCTTCAGCCTCTTTGTAAGGACCTTGGAAAGAATTTTGTATATAGAGCTTATCAAGCTAATAGGCCTAAAATCAGATAGGGACACAAGGTTTTCTTTCTTGGGAATGAGACTCACAAATAAGCAATTGAGACCTCTAGCCAAAATCTCATTCTCATGAAACTCCTTCATAAAGTTCAAGATATCATGCTTCATAAAATTCCAGCATTTCTGAAAACAGGATATGTTAAAGCCATTAGGACCAAGGGCTTTGTTTCCATCACAATCCTTAATGGCAGCCCAAACTTCATCTTCAGAGAAGGCACTTTCGAACATGGCAGGTGCAAAATTAGAAGTGTTAATGGAGTTAAATTTGCCACCCAATTTAGGCCTACTTTTCCAATGCTCTCTGTAAAGTGAGTTGAAATGGTTCATAACTGTAGATTTAACTTTAGAAGGTTGCTCCATTGAGATCCCATTAACCTCTATTGAATCAAGTGAGTTCTTCCTTTTTCAAACATAGTTTTAGAGCTTGCAACTTCTTCTTCAGGATGTACCCTGCCCATCCCTCCAAAGAAGTTTGTTCCCAATTTTGCTTGGCTATTTGAAAAAAATTGGTATGCATAAGCCAAGTGTTGATGAACCTAAATGGTCTAGGTCCCTAATCTCTCCCATCCTCCATAAGCAAAAGAGGGCAGTGATCATATAAGGATCCAGGCAAACTCCAAAGTTTGAAACTAAAGGATTCAAGCCATTCGGGATTTAAAATAAACCTATCAATTCTGCTCCACCTATCACCATCCTGAGAACTGCCCCATGTATATCTTCTGCCTAGCATGGGTAAGTCTACCCCTTCAATTTTTTCAATAAAATTCCCCAAATCTTTCATCCCCACATCCCTCCTAACACAACCCTTCATTTTCCCTATACTTTTGACTTCATTGAAATCACCCCCAATGCACCAAGGATGAGAGAAATTGGATCTAAGACTGACTAACAATTCCCATAATCCCCTCATTTCCAGCACATCATTAGAGGCATAGACATTAACAATAATACAACTAAAGTTTGAAGAGGTGATACCTGAAAGCAAGATGAAGTTCTTATTGCAGTAGCACTCTGACATAGTGAAAGACTCTGGATTCCAAATTTACAATAGCCCACCGAAATTCCCCACTGCATTAACATACATGAACTCCATTTGATCCCCAGGCCATAAAGATCTCACAAATGAATCTAAAATATCAGCTTTCTTTGTCTCTTGGATTAAAGCAATTTCTACTCTCCTTAGTCTAATTAGCTCTTTTAATTTCCTCATTTTCTCAGGTTTTCCCAACCCTCTGATATTCCATGCTAACATCTTCATTAACGAACAAAATAGAGCTCTCAATCACCTAGTCCTACAAATCAGGACTGTTTATCAGCATCCAGCTGCTTTTTTCTCTCCAAATCCTGGTTTTCAAGTTCCATTATCTTCTCAATTACTTTGACCTCCTTCCCTTCATAATTTACACCAAGAACCTTTCCAATTTGTAGGGTGGCTTATGCCTCATTTGAAAGATATCTTCCTCTACTCGAATTGCTACTCAATAAGATTGAGTCAGATAAGGCCTGGGTTGCAGCTCTAAGTAAAACACCCTTATTGAATCTTGTACGTCCAATTCCCTTGACCTGTGTTTTCCTTTTAGCTTTCTTAGGATTTTTCTTTGCTGGGAGATGGCATCTTGTAACCTTTGATACTTTACTAGTCCCCCCCTCTTCTAACCGTGAGCTTCTGGGATTAGCATCTCCTTGTTGTAACAAGGGATCATTTTTCAACCCAGAGATGGTTGGGTGATGATATCTTGAAAGACCCACCTCATTGGGCCCAAGGATAGAGGGGGGCCTGGTGTGATATGTTTTATCAGTTTGGACTGGACCTAAAAACACCTCAAAATTTATGTTGGGCCGAATTAAATCTGATCCACTGAAGCTTTTCAAAAAACCAGAGGCACAAATTAGCCCATCAACTCTTGGACTTCCATTGTCTGCAATGAGGTCGTTGCTCTGTGACAAGGTTGTCTCCTTTCGCATCCATGCGCCTCCGTTGCTTGCTTTCCCCAAGTTGTTAGCTGTCTCTTTTATTACCGAGATTGCCATGAGACTATCATTACCTGCCATCTCCTTCTCCTTTAATGCATCTACTAAACACTTGTCACCTCCCAAAATCCTTTCTGACACCTCCTCATCATTAATTGCCACATCATCATCTTCCTTCCTAAGAATCTCACCATTGTCAACATAGTGCTCATCTCCCCTGTTTGCATTAACAGATATCTCCTCCCGCAAATGACTAATGGAATTACTTGAATTTTCTATAACAACTATTTGCTCTTCACAGACTCTAATCTGATATAGTTTGCCTTTGCAATCTAGGGTGATAACTTGGTTAATGCAATTCAGTACTTTAGTTACTATTCTGACTTTGCCACAGCATAAAGAGGACATTTCAAGTGTGTTTTTATCAATCTCAATAACATTCCCCCATAGCATGCCTATATTTTTGAAATTGATAGAGTTCCAAAGATTGAATGGTACTCCAAAACAACTAAGCCATACCTCCCTTTCATGCTCAATGATCGTGTCCTTGGCCCATTGTGTGATGAACTCACACTATTCATGGGCCAAGTGCTCCAGCTCCTGTGATGCACTCTTCATTTCCTTTTCTGATTTGAAAGAAAGAATCACCGACTTGCCTCCAATCACTCTTAGCTGAATATCAGTTCCATACCTACTTAATAGTTCTTGTTTGAACTCAGATACAAGACAGAAAGGCTTAAGTTTGGCTACTAGGCTCCCTTGTAGCCAACCATTTCCATATTCCTCTGCTTTAACGATCAGTCCAATACCTTTCCCGGCTCCTGTTCTAGCCACCACATCAGCATAGCTTTGCACATTGTCACGCATAATGCTGCTAGTACGATTTCAATGGGTTGTAGTAGCTTCACCTTTGTGTAACACCTGCTGCTTCCCATTTTTGCTTTGGGCCTTGCTGAACTCTGCCATCTTTACCTTTATCTCGCGATTGTCACGCCAAGTGCCATGTGCCTTTTGAATAGCCACTCCTGTTGCAGCTGAATAATTGTAACGTACAAAGCCAAACTGTGAGCTTGTTACCTTCCTCCTCCTGTTAGGGATGTAAACATCCACCACTACTCCGAACTTGGAAAACAATGTATACAGCCCCTTAGGATCCAGTGATTCAGGTAAGTTATCCACGAAAACAGTGTGGATATCTTGAGAGTTCCTAGTTTTCCACGCTTTCTTGCGAAATACTAGGATCCATCCACCATCTGAACCTTCACCCCTGTCTCTCATGGTCTCTGGTTTTTTCCAGAAGCTTTATGGTATGTGTTGAGGTCGTATATTCCAAGTTGAATTGTATATTTGAAGTTTAATCCTCCTCCGTCTTGTTGATGTAATGTTTTTGAACAAGATCATATTTGGTGTATGGGTAGATTCTACTGGAATTGGCCTCTACAACAGTCATGCTTCTAAAGTAGGTATATAATTTTTTCCTAGAATTGTAAAGAAATTCTTGGGGTCCGTTTGGTATAGTTTTAGAATTATAATTTGAATGTGGAGTTGTAATTTAAGTATGGAGTTGTGAGTTAAGTTTTGAAAAAAAAAATAAAAAAATTGTTTAGCTATGAGTTTTGAAGAGAATTTTGAGTCTTTGAATTTTCAAAAGTTTTGAGTTTAGAAAAGAGTTTTAAATTTTTAAATTTTGCTTTGTATTTTAAAATTTTTAAAATTTATTTTTTTTAAATATTTTAAAATGTTTAAAAAAAAATTTATTTTTTTATATTAAATATATAATTTTTATTTTAAACATTTTTTCATTTTTTATTTTATTTTTTAAATAGTTTTTAAATATTTTATTTTTTTAATATTTTAAATTCAAAACATAACTCCACACTCAAATCACAACTAAATATATAACTCAAAACTCAATTAAAAAATTATTTTTAAAATTCATAACTAAATATTTAACTCAAAATTTAATTTAGAATTTCTTTTCAAAACTCATAATCAAACATTTTTCAAAAACTTGTTTTCAAATATTTTTTTTCTTTCTAAAACATTAATTAGGTGAAGGAAACAAAAAATAATTATCATTTTTATGCAATTTTATTTTTTGGAGGATATAGATAATTTTTTAAAATTAAAAAAAATGATTTTTCATTTTAACAAATTAATTTTTTATTTTTTATTTTTAAAAATTAAAACTTTTTTTTTTTTTTCTAAAAGACAAACAACATTTTGATCATGTGTAGCCTTATTTTTTGTTGTTGGAATTCATGTACAATGCTGTGTGTGATGAAGGACAATGAGGGAGTTCGTGAGAAATGAATTTATAGCGATCCCGGTTGTCCCTTTTACTGTTCTGTTATATTCCGGACTTGGTTCTGTGGAGTTGGTAGTTGTATCTATCTTGTTGTCGTCCTTTAATTCCATTTTTTTGAGTTTTAGGATGTGTTGGGCATGTTTCGAACAGGTGGGTTGAACCTTGGTCTAAAATCTTGTTGTCAGGTTTTTGGTCGTTCCGCTCGAGCGGGCCTTGTTGCGCTCGAGCAGAGATTGCACACTCCCAGTATTTCGTGTCCCTGCAAAACTTCTGCAGGTGTAATTTTTATGCTCGAGCGGGTTTCTTTACGCTCAAGCGGTCGCGCTCGAGCGGGTACTCTGGCGCTCGAGCGGGTAATACTTTTTGGTGTAAGTTCTGGGAGAGGGAAATCTACGCTCGAGCGGACTGGTTTTCACGCTCGAGCGGATGTACTTTATTCTTGTGTCTTGGCGCTTGAGCGGGCCTTCTTGCGCTCGAGCGTACCTAGTTTTTAGTTCTTGACGCTCGAGCATTGTGTTCTCCGCTCGAGCGGGAATGTCGTATATCAGTTGGCAGCTGGGCATTTTAAAATCACTTTTTACATTCTCTCTCTCTCTCTTACTTTCTAAAAACATATTTTGAGAGCTCCTCTCTCTAGAAACTCCCTTCTCTCTAGGGTTTGATCTAGTTAGAGTGTCTCCCTATCCTCTGGCCTTTGTAAAAAGTGTGTTGATCGTCGAGGGCTTCGTTTTGATCCGAGAATCGTGGTGTTTGGAGCATTTTGGTTTTCTTCAACTTCCCCGTTTGAGCTCTAACTTCGAGGTAGGGATATCCTACTCCTCTTTATGTGCTTTGTCTTTGAATTTTCGCATTTTGATATGTTGGGGGTTGTTGGGTAATTTTGAGAAAGTTTGGGTCTTTGTGTAATTTTACAAAAGATGGGGTTTTATTTACATTTAAACCTATATGCGTGCTTGGCATAGAGAAATGATATACATGATGAACTATGGATGAAAGTGGAACCTTGAGGTTATTATGTTAATTATGGGAAAATGCCCTAATTAGTTGGATAAATTAATTTGTATAATTAATTTTGAGAAATGAGGAATTGAATTGAGAGTATTCAAATTGAAAGGATTATGGGATTAACGGGTGTAGTTGGATTCATTTAATCGCTCACCCAGGTTGAATGTTGATAATATATCCATTTGGTGCATTTATTTCCTGTTTAGAAATAACTGCTTTGGGCTATCAGTGGAGGATAGTCTTGATTGTTGTAGACAATGTATGATGATTAGGCAAACTAAAACTAATCAATTGAGTATGCTATTGAATATAGCGGTTGGAATAATACATCGACTTTACGTATTGATTGTTTGTGTATATGATCTATGTTTATATACATTGTGTGTGTGTGGGTGGAGATAGGGGATGTATTCCACGGTTTAAGGGAAGATAGGGGATGGACCTCTAAGCCAGATTGTGTGTGACATTGATACAGCACTACCATGTGTATCAAGTGTTGATTATGGAAGTGTTTAAATTGATTTGATATAGCACTAAAATGTATATCGTTATCAATTGTGAGATATAGAAGTGTTTCTATGTTATGTTGATACAGCACCAAAATGTGTATCGTTCGTATGGTATGGAAGTGACTTATGTGTTATTGATACAGCATCAAAATGTGTATCCACCATGAATTTTGAAAGTGTTTTAAGATGAGTCTTACTCTCATCATGTTATTTGGCTAAGTTTTGAGCCTTGTTTTCAAACTCAAAGTTGAAAAAGAAATGAGAAATGAAATGTAACATGGACTTAAATGTCATGAAACTGGAATGTGATATAAGTGAGTGTATCGGTTGTCACGACCCCAAACCGCCCCTAGTAGTTTGGTGCCGTGATGGCCAGTAATCCGTAATTACCGAAGGCCAACTTCCAAAAACTTAACACAATCAGAGTATAATAAACGGGGCTCACAAACACGGAAGCAATAGATCAAAAAAACAAGTGGTCCATAAGAGCTGTGCATAGATCAAATGCAATGTCATTTACATGTAAATTCAAGCCAAGGGCTTAATATGTATTGAGTTAGCACTCTTCTTTTTGTAACCAAGTGTTAACTTGGAAAGCTGCAAGCCCGTAGGACATTTGTTTTTGTTGTTAACATGTAATACTTTTGTAAGAACTACTCAGATTAATAGAAAGATGGTTGGTTTCTTTGTATCAATGCATGTGTAAAAAGATGGGTTTTATGTATTTTTTTGAGGGCGTTACAGATTTCTTTTCCTCCTTCAATTTCCAACACAACCAAACATAGTTGGGATTTGGAATCCTATTAATTCTTCCTCCTTTTCCTTTCATTTCCATTTCCCTTTCCATTTTCCTTTCCAAATCCCCCAACCAAACACAGCGTTAATGTGCCTTCATCTCCTAATGCCAATAACAAGACCAAGGGTATGAAATGGACCTATTGGCCAGCGTTCATAGGCATATCAGACCAAGGCAAAGATATGATATGGTTAAATGAGTGGAAGATTGCAGATCAACTAATGGACGGTGGTGACGACGTGACAATCTCAGTGAACATGGAGGAACAAGAGAAAAGTTAGGGATCATGAAAAAAATTTCATGAAAATGATCATGAAAGAGTCATGATCCTTGGAATACCTTGATTAGTGTGTGGTGCTTTATTCTAAGTGTAATCCAAGGGTCACAAAGCTTTCATGATTATTTTCATGAAAGATTTTTCATGATACCTAGCATTGCTGGGAGGAACAATATCAGTTGAAGGAATTTGAAATTTGGATTGTGTACGTTGAGCAAGAAGAGAAAGTTACCGAGCAGAATGCCATTGATTTGTCAGCATACGAGACGAGTGCAGGCAGGGCCGGCCTAAGTTATTAGGAGTCTAAGGTGAATTTTTTAAAGGGTAAACTACCAATAGGTCCTAATAGTTGGACTTAATTCCCATCAAGTCCTATTAAAAATAAATCTTAGTAAAATCATTAGTAAAAATAATTTTTGAATATGTAAAATTGACAATAAGTGAATTTTTTTGCTAATATTTGTAGGACAATCTTCACCGTATTTAAAAGGATTTGTGTGGTGCTTTATTCTAAGTGTAATCCAAGGGTCACAAAGCTTTCATGATTATTTTCATGAAAGATTTTTCATGATACCTAGCATTGCTAGGAGGAACAATATCAGTTGAAGGAATTTGAAATTTGGATTGTGTACGTTCAGCAAGAAGAGAAAGTTACCGAGCAGAATGCCATTGATTTGTCAGCATGCGAGATGAGTGCAGGCAGGGCCGGCCTAAGTTATTAGGAGTCTAAGGTGAATTTTTTAAAGGGTAAACTACCAATAGGTCCTAATAGTTGGACTTAATTCCCATCAAGTCCTATTAAAAATAAATCTTAGTAAAATTGTCGCTAAAAATAATTTTTTTGTAACAATTTTTTTTATGCGTCGCTAAAAATTGACAATTAGTGATTTTTTTTGTCATGATTTTTATAAATTGTCGTTAAAACTTATAATTAATGACTTTTTTTATGACAAATTTTTTACATAGGACCTATTAGATAATAAGCCTACTTAGTAGGACCTACATGTAAGTACCCCTTTTTTAAATTGGACCCTTCATATATTATTATCCAAAAAAAAAAATTTGTTTGGATTAAACAAAAAGGATAAAAATTTATTTCTATTGCATTACAATTTAACAAAACTTAGATAACATATATATATATATAGTTGAACTTCAATTAATTGAATTGAATCTTTATTTTTTAGCCTACCAATGCTATAATAACTAAAATTAATTGGGGGTAAGGATGAGAATTTTCGACACAACTCAAGCAATATAAAAAATTAGCAAGTTAGGCTTGACTATTTTTTAACATGAATCCAAATATGACAGGACTCAATAACATGAATTATTAGTTATATATTTTAATATTCACTAATGGATGGCATGGCATTTTTTAAA